CCGTGTGGGTTTTTTTGTGAGGGATGTGTGTAGCGTACTTGAGGAGTGTGGAAGCAGCACACTGTTTCGCCCGCCCACCTTCCAGTGTGCTGCAAACCTTGGGTGCTCGCGTCCACCGCGCTTTGAGTGGTATTTTTTGTGAAGGAGGTACACGCTTCAGTAGTGTGGAAGGTGGGCGGGCGAAAGAGTGTGCTGCTTGCAACGAGGGTGTGCCATAGCCGCGTGGTGTCGTGTCTCGCATAGACTGGTGAGCGTGAGTCTGAGCATTCTCCTAGCCGCGTGGGTCAGCACAGTGCCTGGTTCAGAAAGTTATGGGGAGGGCGTTGCGGGGGGGGGTACCGTGTCGCGCGGATCGGCCGTCGACTGCATGTCGACGCGGAAGCCATTGAACCACCCGTCGTTGACCACCGTGACGTCAGAGGACGTCTTCAGGCTGCACAGGGTCCCGTGTTAGAGTCCCCCCGCCGGGGTGGCCAAGGCAGCTCGCAGCGTGCATCAGGACAAAAAAAATTGTTCTTGGGGCGGCGTCGCAACCTGCGGTTAACGGGCCCGTTCTCCCACTGCGTGGCTCCGCCTTTGGTGACGATATACTTGTATTCCAGCGAGAACCCGGTGTAGACCAGTGCGGTCCCCTCCCACACGGGATACGTGGCGGGGGAGGTCGCCAGCGTCAAGGCCTTGTCCGCCTTCCAGTTCCCTGCGACCAAACGAATACAAATCGCGTCAGCGCCCCGCGACTTCTCCAGCGCACCCCGCGCTGTAACCAGCCACCACGCTGCTGCAAGCGTGGGGGGGGCGCTGCGGGACTCACCGAGGATCGGGGCGTTGCCCGAGACAAGGACTTCATCGCCGAATTCCGTCTCGCAAGAAACCTTGAACGTTACCCGCGTAAAAAGCCCGCTCGACGGCATTTTGCGCGCCCGCTCCAACACCGCCCCTGCCCGACGAGTCGCTCCAGCCCCTACCACCTGGAACTAAGGGAGAAGGCCCAACAATGAAGTGGCCGCGCTGCGCCTTGCAAGGAGGATCAAGCGAAGGACCCAGCCCCTAAAACTGAGTTGTTACACGCTGTCATCACAACTTAGCGTCAAAAGTGCATCTTTTCTCAGGCGGGCCCAAGCCAGGAAAAAAGACCAGCGGGTCGGAGATCCCCGTTCAGAATTTGGCGGGAAAGGCGCCTGTCGAGCGGCTGTTCTCTCCAGGAGCGAGTGTGTGTTGCGGCGAGCTCTGGCGCAGCCTTGAGCGCCAGACAAGATGGGCATCGGCGGGAACGCTTCGGCGGATGCTGTGCGGCAGGTCATGGTGCGCACGGTGCTGGACGGTCCGCGCGAGTGGTCGATGATTGAGTTCCAGGGCGTGATGGAGATGCGCGAGGAGGGGGGAGTGGTGGACGGCAGCACCATCGGGGAGATGACGTGCAAGGAGGACAAGAAGCACGTGAGCCTGCTCATCGGGAACCAGCGCCTCGATGGCAAGGTTCACGATCTCAAGCAGCCGTTTGCCGTCATGGCCAAGCGGCGGCTGCCCTCCGCAGAGGGCGACGAGGAGGCCATGGTCGTGCCAGGGCCGGGGGCGCCCAAGGGTGAAGTGGAGCTTGAGATCGTCGGTTTCATCCAGCGCAAGATTGTGTTCACGCTCAGGCCAACCGTGATGACTGCTAGCTGGAAGAGCCCCACCAAGGATCTGGGGAGCCAAGCCGTCATTTAAGGATGTTCCGAACGCAGCTGCCTCGAACCGCACGGTCAAATGGACGATCACGACCCTGGAGTGCGGCCGTGTTCTCCGCGACTGGCGTGCGCCTCCTGGAACGCTTAGCTTTGGCGCAAGGGGCCCCAGGCTGCTTCACCTCTTGTCGGTGTGTGTGTTATAAACGTGCAGAGACCACGACCCGTTGTGCGCCCCCCCCCCCCCCCCCCCAAGGGCGAGGGCGTGTTTCAAACCAGAGGGAGACCTTCTAGCTCTGCCTCAGTTAATATGGGCTCCTCATGAAATACATTCAGATCAGAGCTCCTTGCACACTAATCTCCATACAAGTATTAATTAATTGCTTTCTGGCAACGAAAATTACTACACGATTTGCTTATACAAGTAATAGTAGAGCATTTGTGTAGTAAATTTCGTTGCGCCAAAACCAATTAATTAATACTTTTGTGGAGATGAACACGCTCCTGTACAAAGATCATCTGAATGTACTTGATGAAGGGCCCAGATAAACTGAGGCAGAACTAGACCTTGAAGACGCACGCGTCAGAGTGGAAACCTCTCCTGGCTCGACGTCCGCAGGATAAGGCATCCACACCCGCGCAGGGTTTGTACAGGGGTACCTCGTTCAGAAGAAAGCGCCACCCCGTAGGACCCTACAGTAGGCCTATGCCTGGCCCTATGGTGGTCCTAGGTGGATGCGGTTTGTTATGAGTGAGGTACCCCTGTGTCAGGGCGATACCTGGACCGAGCATGCTGTGTCACAACAACCCTCTCACAACTCTACGCTGTATAGTTGTGGGAGTCTCGCACACGTCCCTGCCCTGCAGGTCCTTCAGGTTCTTCGAGCTCCCAACATAGGCGGACACCGGAACTGGTTCTGCAGAAAAGCCATGCTTCCTTTCGGATCACATTCAGGCCTCCCGGTGCAGAGGATTGCGCTGCGGTTTGACCAGCACCTGCAGTTTGACCAGCACTGCACACAAATCCTCACGACGGCTGCGGTGCCACGCGGCACCCATGGTCCCGCGTCGGCCCAGAATCCGGGTCGGGGACAGCACTAGTCAAATACAGGGGTAACTCGGCTACAAGAACACCTGTGCCCGAGGGTCGGTCGGTCGCCGTTTTCGTATTAAAAAAAACGCGAGCAAAACCGGTCGGTCTATGTTTTCTTAAATTAAGAAAACGCACGAAAGCAGTCGGTCCCCGTGTTCTCGAGTTGAAAAAACAAAGGAAAGAGGTCGGTTGGTGTTCTCAAGAACGACTCAAGAACGATTTTGGAATTTGGTCACAGGATGGGCGGGTGGGTGGCGAAATTTTATGTTTTTTCGGAAATCCTTTTTTCGGGAAATTTATGGTAACCCATAAAACTGGGAAGTTTCTCAATGAAAACACGAGTTTTGAGAGGGGTTGAGGTGTTTTAGTACACAAGGTACCATAAAACTCTATGTTGAGACCTCCTGACTGATCCTGAAAACTCCTGACTCCATCATTTCACCTCATGACTGAATCCTGTGATCTCCTGACTCTATCCTGAGACCTTCAATCAAAATTATGAGAACTGTTTACTAAATCCTTGAAACCTCCTGACTTTGTTCTGAGACCTTCAGACAATAAATTGAGAACTCCTGACTATCCTGAAACCTCCAGACCGGTTAACCTCAGGACACTGTTCTGATGACTCAGGATAAAGTTCTGAGTCCTTAGGATAAAGTTTCCGAGGTCCCATGATGGAGTTATGAGGACTCATGATAGACGGATTTGAGACAAAAATACGATGGACCTTGGCCAGGTGAGAATCTCGCAGACACAGATTGAAGTGGGGGTCAAAATTGATCCGCAAGAGTCCTGGGCAGGTCCGTGGGCCCTAACGTAGGGTGTCTCGCCACGTAAGGGATATTTCTGAACGCAGACGGTCGAGCCGGGCTGACATAGCCCGTGTCTGAACCCTGAACCGTGAACCGTGAACCGTAAACCCTGACCCTCAACCCTCAAGTCCTTTGTCCATAACAATCTACGACCTGCACCCTACACCCAACACCCTGCACTCTATCCCACAACCTACAACCTCAACCCTGAACCCTAGAGCCTAAACCCTAAACCTTTAGCCCTCAAACCTCAACCCTCGAGCCTAAACCCTAAACCCTAGACCCTAAACCCTAGACCCCAAACCCTAAACCCTGAACACTCAACCCTAAACCCTAAACCACAAACCTTAAAACCCCAAACCCTATCCCTTAAGTCACCAGGCCCCCAAATTTGGGGGCCTGAGGTCCTAGGCAGGTCCTAGGGCCCTACCGTAGGGCATATGAGCCTACTGGACACTTAAGGGATACCCTACATCCTAGACCCACAAAACAAACCTCTAAACCCTAAACACCACATCCTAGACCACAAACCCTAAACGCCAAACCCCAACCCCTACTACCTGAAACCTACATCCTAAACCTTAAACCCTACACCCCAAGCCTTAAATCCTAAACCCTTCCGAAGCCCTAAATCCAAGACCATACAATACTTTCTAAGCCCTAAATCCCAAACCCTCAACCCGAGCCCTCAAACCATAAACCACAAACCCTAAATGCCCAACCACAAACCCTAAACCTTAAATCCTACATCCTGGACCCAACATCCCAAACCCCATGCCCCCAACCTTCAACTCTCAATCCTGCACCCTAAGCCCTAAAGCCTAAACCGTAAGCCTTAAGCCCTACCCTTTAAACACTGAACGCATAACACTGAACACATAGCACGGAACACTGAACACTAAACACTGAACACTAAACCCTCACCCCTTACATCCCAAACCCAAACAGTCTTCTGTAAACACTCAACGCCGATCGCTAAACACCAACCCATGATCCCTGAACCCTCAGATGTTAAACCCTAAACTCTTAACTCTGAATCCTAAAGTAAATTCTAAACCCCAAATCCTAACATAATACACCATCAGATCCCATCCCGAACCCTGAACCACAAACCGTAATGCGTAAACCTTCAATCACCGCACACTTTTATTTGAAACACGTGACCTAAGATAAAAATCACTATCCGTTAAGTGCCCAGTAGGCTCTTAGGCCCTACTGTAGGACCCTAGGACCTAGCTGGCCACTTAAAGGATACACCAACATGTAAAAATTACTGAACATCCGTACACACAAACATATATAAAATACTATATACTGCCGTAGTTGTACAGCTCCCCGGGCTTTAAAAAAGGTGCTTGCTCCGCCTCGTGTGGGGCCAAATGCCAAAAAGAGGCCCTCGTAAAAAAAGTAGACAGGTCCCCCAAAGAGAGATCCCCCCACCTCCAGGTTCAAACTCGGGACCTGACGCTCACGGGGTGTCCCCCTTACCAGCTTGGCCACGGGGGCACGCATCGGTAGGTCCTCCAGCGGTGCTGGAGCCCCTGCCCGACGAGTCGCTCTAGCCCTTACCACCTGACACTACGGGAAAAGGCCCAACAAAGAAGTGTCCGCGCTGCGCCTTGCAAGGACCCAGCCCCAGATCCGCCCTAAAACTCGCTCCATTTTAAAAGTGGGGACACCGTGCTCTTGACTTAGCGTCAAAAGTGCATCTTACCTCAGGCGGGCCCACGCCAGGAAAAAAAGACCAGCGGGTCGGAGATCCCCATTTTTCAGAATTTGGCGGGAAGGGTGCCCTGCCGAGCGGCTGTTCTCTCCAGGAGCGAGTGAGTGTCGCAGCGAGCTCTGGTGCAGCCCTGAGCGCCAGGGAAGATGGGCATCGGCGGGAACGCTTCGGTGTGGGTAGTGAGGGTAGGCGGGGATGATGGGGAACTCCAACCATAGCACTACATATGTATACAGCGAGAGTAGACTGATCATGATGGTCGGAGTTTCACATCATCCCCTTGGTTCACCACACCCCAGCCAGTTTCAGTGTTGATCAATCAACTGGTAGGTCTGAGACTGGTTGATGGTTTCTCGTTAGCCACATTTGTTTGTTTGAGACGGCGACTCCGACGCCGTCTCAAACACAATGAACGGGCGATGAACGTACAGGGGTACCTCGCCCATAAGAAACCGCCCCCCCCCTAGGACCACCGTAAGGCCCTGGGCATATCCCTACTGTAGGGTCCTAGGGGAAGGCAGTGTCATGTGAGGGAGGTACCCCTGTACCGCCTAGAGCGCCTAGAACCACATGTTATTTCAGAGCCAGACCCTCCAATCCCTCTGAAATCGACAGTTGTGGGAGTCTCGCACACGTCCCTGGAACAACTGCAACTGTACACGCACTGCACACAAATCCTCACACTACAGGAGTACCTCGCTCATAAGAAACCGCCCCCCCCTAGGGCCCTGCAGTAGGCCCATGCCTGGGGCCTCATGGTGGCCCTGGGGGGGGGGCGGTTTCTTATGGGCGAGGTACCCCCTGTATCGCTCGAAGCCGATGGCGTGTGATGGCGCGTGCACAACGCCGCCTCCCCCGCGCCTTGCGCTCTGGCGATACAGGGGTACCTCGCTCATAAGAAACCGACCCCCCCTAGGACCACCGTAGGGCCCTAGGGGTAGGCCTACTGTAGGGTCGTAGGGGGGGTGCGGTTTCTTATGAGCGAGGGACCCCTGCATCTGGGGACACAGTCCCGTGTAGGACGACCGGAGTGACTTTACCCCCAGATGCACGAGCGCGCACCCGGCTCAACACCAGCAGATCTATTGTCGCTTATTGACTTTGTTGACGAGTGAAAATGCACGGCGCAGAAAGTAGGCGAGCGAAGTGCGTCAATGGAGCATCCTAGCTCTGTCCCACTTCGATCTGGGCTCGCCATTATTTCACCCCCCCAAAAATTTCACAGGTGAATTTCATGGGGTGTGTGTCAAAATTTACCTGCGAAATTTCGGGGGGGGGGCGAAATAATGGCGAGCCCGAATTTACTGGGACAGAGGTAGGCATCCCCCACGCCGGTCACCGCATCGGATCTAATCGGGGGCTTGTCGCGTAGTCGGTAGGGTTGGCCTCGCCGCTGTTGCGCGAGTACGGGTTTGTGACCTTGTACCTCACACCCACCTGTCGAGACACGTGGGTTAGCACGCCATACGTTATCCCTTAAGTGGCCAGTAGGCGCATACGCCCTACCGTAGGGCCCTAGGACCTGCCTAGGAACTCTTGCGGGTCAATTTTGACCCCCTGGCCACTTCAGGGATAACCCCAGAACGCCTGACCTAGATGCCTTGAGCTTCAGTGCCTATGCAAGAGCCCTTGAGTGGCCAGTAGGCTCATACGCGGGCCCTACGACCTACCTAGGGCGAGTTAGGGTGAATATTCACCCTATGGGCACTTGAGGGATGTCGTCTTGCGCACGACCGTGGCAAGGCGCTCTGGCAGACAATCTCACTACAGGGGTACCTCGCTAATACGAAACCGCCCCCACTAGGACCCTACAGTAGGCCTATAGGGTGGTCCTAGGGGGGGGGGGCAGTTTCTTATGAGCGAGGTACCCCTGTATGGCGGACAATGTCTCTAGCTGTCAGGACGCACGACGCAAGCACGACGCATCTTTGTCCCCTTGAGGCTTCACCCTGAGGAGGGCGCCAATGCACTAGGCAACGAGGGGGCTTTCTGGAAGGGACGGCGTGCTCCGATGAGAAGAGGCCAGTGTGTAGGATTGCTGATCGCTCATTCCTGAACCCTAACACGCCTCAACCCTGACCGCATCCCTTCAATTGTAAACCCTCCACCCCAAGTGCGCATAGCGGATGGGGTGCAAAGAATCACCGGCAAAGAACCAGGGCAGCAAAGAATCACGCAGAGGCGAAGGTTGCCCTACGCTCTCCTGCGGCGTACCGCAGTCAATACCGTAGGCTTAACGACCCTCAACATATGCAGATACCCGATGAACGTGGCTTTGAGGGCGGAAGGGGGAAGCACAGAATCACAAATGGGGCGAAGGTTTCACTCACCGAGGTCAGCTTGAACGTCGTGTGCCTGTACCTGCCACACGCACCCTCCAGCGTTACAGACTGCACCCACCATCTGAACGCTACATAATCTACTTTGGCGTCCTCACAACCTTGCGTCCTGAGGTGCCCTTAGAGGCTAGATACCCACACAGCTTGCTGCACAGCCTGTTCCTGCCGCACGCACCCTCCAGAGTTACAGGCTGCACTCACCACGCTTGCTTTAGGTCCTTCAGGTCCTTCGAGCTCCCAACATAGGCGGACACTGGCACACACTTCCCAATGTGAGGACGGAGTTCTAGGAAGGCCCCCCCCCGTAATAGATCCACCCCCGAATACACGAGATAATGCGTCTCCTTGCCTAGGACGCCTTATTTAAATACGTCTGATTTAACTTATATTAACACGGGTTCAATAAGGCGCACCACACCCACGCTACCAACGCACCCAGCATTCAACGAAGCACGCCTCGGGTTTCTCGAAAATCAGGACACGCACCATCCCTAGGTGCCCAACACACGCCGGGGGAGCACGGGATACAACAGGGTGTAGGGTGTAGGGTGTAGGGTTTAGGGTTTAGGGTTCAAGGTCCAGGGTTCAGGGTACAGGTTTGAGTGTTGCGGGTTGCGGGTTGCGGGTTTACGCTTTAGCAGTGTAGGGAAAAACCCTGGTCTAGGGGCCTCACGGCCCACCGTAGCCAATATCGAAGGCTCAACTACCCTGAATTCAGGCATCGTCCGTATGAACACGCCGGGGGAGCAAGGGCGACAAAACGGTTTCAGGTTTCGGGTTTCGGGTTTCGGGTCTAGGGTCTAGGGTTCAAGGTTCAGGGTTCAGGGGGGCACCCGTTCTCCTTGAAGCTAGTCCCGGCAGTGCGGCCCGGCCCCATCGACTCCAAAATGTCGACCCCTTCGGCCGACGCGCCTTTCCCGACACACCAGCCCCCCTGCGGATGAGAGAATTTCGCCTTGAATTCAAGGTGAAAAGGTCCGGAATTTCGCCTTGGATTCAAGGTGAAAAGGTCTTGCCTCGCTGCTAAGTGGCCGTGTCGACCCCTTCGGCCGACGCGCCTTTCCCGACGCACCAACCCCCCTGCAGCCACGCACCGTTGCAGGGTTGAGCGGCAGCCTCATGTGGTGTTGGGGTGAGAACAGTCCCCCTGCAATCGTTCTTTTTTTGGCGTTTGGGCAGTAGTTTTGCAGGGCATTCGCGGACGAGAATACACGGTTGCCGTGCCCACTCCCTCTGCCTTTCCCGACACATCAGCCCCCTTGCAGACGCAATTTGCTTTACTGAAGAAGAAGTATACTGAGCTGGGAATACATAAACACCCAAACCTGTAGCCCCACTGCAATAATTGTTTGGCGTTTAGGACCTAGTTTTTTTCAAGGCATTCGCGGAAGGGAATACACGGCTGCCATGTTGTTTCGATCTGTGATAAACGCACGTTTCTCTTTCCTGGAATCACGTGCCGTTCCAGGGTTATGCGGCTGCCTCGTATGGTGGAGTGAGGAGAGAGATTTGGGAGAAGGTTTGGTTCCCCGCAGCGGCCCGCCTCGAACAGCAGGGACTCTCTCTATTTCTCTGTCTCTTTCTCTGTCTCTCTTTCTCTCCCCCCCTCCCTCCCTCCCTCTCTCTCTCTCTCTCACACACACACCCACTCTCTCTCTCTCTATCTATCTCTCTCTTTCTCTCTCCCTCTCTCCCTCTGATCGACTTTGCTGGAGAGGGCGCCCGGGACTCTCTGTCTGCCTGTCTCTGTCTCTGTCTCTGTCTCTCTCTCACACACACTCACTCACCCCCCCCCTCTCTATCTTTATATCTATCTTTATATCTCTCCCTCTGACTGACTTTGCTGGAGAGGGCACCCCCCTCAACCCCCTCAACCCAAACCCTCAACCGGACCCTCCAAACTCCAACCCCGAAACCCTCAACGCCAACCCCCGAACCCCACACCCTCACCTGCGCAGCCGTCTGATTGCAGAACTTGTCCCCGGCGTCCGCCCGGTAGTCACCTCGAAAAGCAGGGACTCTCTCTCTCTCTCTCTCTCTCTCTCTGTCTGTCTGTCTGTCTCTGTCTCTGTCTCTGTCTCTGTCTCTCTCTCTCACACACACTCTCTCTATCTCTCAAACTCTCCCTCTGGTTCATTTTGCTGGAGAGGGCGGGCCCCGAAACCTCACACCCTCACTCCCAAACCCTCACCTGCGCAGCCGTCTGATTGCAGAACTTGTCCCCGGCGTCCGCCCTGTAGTGGTCTGTCAACGTATCTCCGCACCTAGGATTTAGTATTTCGGGGTTAGGGTTTCGGCAAATTGTTTCGTTTGCAGCGTCGTCGATTTTCTGTGGAGTGAAAGTCAGGAGTTTGGGGGGGGGCTGGATCGGCGACCTGTCTCTCTCTCTCTCTCTCTGTCCCTCTCTCTCTCTCTCTCTCTCTCTCTCTCTCTTTCTCTTTCTC